GGTCTAATATAAAGAGCATCACTACTATGATCACGTGACTGGCTCACCTTTTCATAACTGCTTGCATTTCCATAGTGCACAGGGTGAGTGATGAAACACACAGTACAGCACACTTGGTTACTAAACCCAACTCTAAAGTCCTCACCAACTCAAACTATAATTATACAAACAGTAAACGTTATGGCGACGAGAAAAAGCACAGGGAGTTTGTGCCTCATTTTAAGTGGTGGCGCTGGAGAGGTAATTGCGTGAATGAACATAAATGAGACCTTTATTCAAGTGTCGTATGTTCTAGCGATTACGATGTCGACAAACACGGAAACACGGATCTCACCTGTCTTCCTCTGTCCAGACTGGAGTGATATGTAGCGAGAACCGTTAAGACCTACAATAACAAGAATGAGGTTAGATTAGACACCATGTTGACTGTCTATCACCAGATCACGATGCATACAGATGTACAAACGATTACTGCAATGATTCGATTTAGTCTCAAATATGGCCATCGCATGTGCTTGTTTTAACTCCTAGCCAACACAGAATCGTATAAGGACACAGAAAATGGCGCTTTTATTCCTGACAACTGAAAGACATTTCTTGAAAAGTGCACATATCGAAAAAGTATGCCTCAAAAACTAGGGTATTCAAGGTGTACTTCGTAAATGTGATATATATACACAATATTTGATGGTTGAACAATACACGCAGATATTTTGCGAGTTGCGTAGTATTTTTCCGAGACCCGAACTCATAGTAGAGCGTTCTTTTGACCTACTGGTAATAATTTTTTTATGATTAAATGGCGTCTCTTGACCTACACGTGCAACATGCTAAACTTTCGTAATAGTGGACTAGGCTAATACGCCACAAACACGACTTGCACAGTATTAATTAAGATCACACTCATTCAAACAAGCTATGGATATCCCCGAACACCAAACCACTTTCAAGCTCTCCGTCGCATGATGGGATATATCGCACGTAATCCTTTTCAGGCAACATCACCTACCATGAGAGGACGATGGGTAAGAGAGTTTCTCCCCTATAATGATATAGACTTTCTTCCCTACGTTATTTTTAGATCGCTCCTGGTTTCAGAAATCTCATCAGTGTCTAGAAACAGACAATCCTGTGATGCGGATTTTGTTCAGGTGGACAGCCCAAACGGCTTTGCGCGCATTTTCATCCACCAAGAAAACATCTACGCAACGCGCGTGGTAACTTCCGCGGAAGAACTGGGTACCAAGTCTAAAAAATAACTTGCCAGGGATTACCTTGGGAATAAGGTTTATATGGGAGATGAACTCTCATACTCCTCATCCTCTCTTGAAGATAACTAGAACGTGCTATAAATAGTCCATAACCCTACTTCTCTAGACGAAGGAGTTAACTACCAAAAGCTGATACACACCGGGAATATCAAAGCTTGTAATCCTGCTCTACCAACACCGTGAGGAACACGACGGAGATCAATGATACAGGAAGGCTCTGATACCTGCGTAACAAATAACACATTTTTGAGAAAAAGCAATGTCCTCTGTAACCCTGTCAGAACGAATTCAGCTTGCATAGGACAATAAAGGCCGAGGCCAGGGCAAGACGTTTTCTTCTTTTCTTAGCTAGTATCCATAGGGCCCCTATAAATATCAGCCTCGTTGTTGAATGGGCTACTCTGTAAAATGAAATAAAGTTACTTACCATGTGGCAGAGTACTGCTGTCATCGTGTTCAGGGCTGGATTGGCTGAGAGTATCAGGCTCTTATTTTGTAGGACCTCCGGTAGCGCGGTCAAAACAGGTTCCAGTACTGTCCAGTCCCACTCCTACAAGGTAAACAAGTTGAGCATGGAAACACTCTACATATATTATCGAGCTCATAGTTACATGTACATAACAAGCGCGGTTGCTACGAAACATGCATAATTGATGAAATTCGTTTTGCGACAATCGACTGAACAAAATCTCAACTGTTGGAGTTATTTAAAGAAGGCAAAAAACGCTAATTAGTCAACTTTACAAATAAGCATGTATGACTTGCGTTTTACTCCACTCTGCCTAGTACAAAATACCATGGCCATCATAAAGCGAAGTAAGGAGAAAGTTGAAAAAGATGAAGAATTACTTACATACTGTAAACAGTTCAAAATAGCTTCAAACACATCCGAGTAAGGTATCACACCAAGATGTGAGGATGCTGCAGAATCACTGAAATAGAACAACACTAAGTAAAAAGAATTTACAGATGGATAGCTTAAAATACTAAGCAACATTTAGCTTCAGAGAATCGAAATTACCAACTGCTAGTCAATTGACCCATATCTATATACTGTAGGTGCTCCAATGGTACAGAATTGAGTGATCATACAGTCGGCAGTCTGACAATTTTCGGAGCCCGCAGCTTCTATCACAGTTTACCAAGTAACATGACATATCAAGATGGCACGAAGTACACACGACCATTCTCGGAGAGCTTACAAAGTGCTCGTACTGCACTCTGATTGGACAAGAATATTCGTAGCTGCTCGGGTACTCCGGACAACGATCACTTCCTTTTTTCTCCCACCTGTATATAGGAGACCTTACCTCGGCAAACAAGTAAAGTAAGTGCCAAACTTTGCACTGCCTCCTTCTTCGCTGGTGTCGCATAAACCAAGCCGTAATGTGGAGTCACACCGCAAACTCAGAAAGCACTCGAACGCCTGCAAGACAAAGACACTGAATTGTTAAATTTCATCCGTTTCAATCTTCCTTAATATCAACCATCAATGTTCCTCTAAGGGGAATTATCATCTTTTTGCGTTTTTTCTACCTTTGGTTAAGACATGAGAGAAGTGCAAATATAGGCGAGGCGTCAACGAGTGCTTCTTGAACTTTCCGCAATTCTCACAAAAAGACACAAAATGTAGCTCAACAACGCACGAAAATCAATTTGAATATCACCTTTAAAAAATGTTGAAGAAATTGCAAATGCTCAAACTCGACGCAAGCCGCAAACATTACAGCTCGATAAAGCTCCCATGTGACGTAGCCTAGCCTGCGAACACAGACGGGATTTACAGCTTTTGTTTCAACGTGAAACAAAAGCTGCAAATCCATTCCGGCTTTTGTTTCAGCGTGAAACAAAAGCTGCAAATCCATCTGTACTCGCAGGCTAGAACCAGCCGCCTACTCTACGGAGATATAATGACCTTGAACCGACCAATCCAAGCGCAGCGATGCCCACAACATTTTATGGCAGCATAATATTTCCAATATATCATAACGCTTTTGAGGATAAACGTAGAGCATACCAAGTTTCTGATGACACTGGCAATGTAGGTACTGTAGCCCTGGGAATAATGTGCCTTCATGTGCGACACCAACAGCTCAAACGTTCGTACAGCGTGACCATGAGGCAAACGAAACAACTTCAGCTATAAACAAATGAACGAATACTAATTAAAAAGAGGAATAAGAGTTCTGGTAATATTACTATTTGGTGCAAAGAGAAAACCTTGCAGCCGTATCAAACTTTCTTGGGATGCAGGAAATCTATCATCAAGTGCACTGAGCCCGAACACTAACCGTAAGGTTGACATGGGGGAGGAAAGGAAAAAAAAAACCAAATGAAATAGGAATATAGCGGTGTGGGTGGAAAACGATCTCACGTGTAAATAGGTTTCTACCTGAGAAATCATAAGATAGCAATGATGGAAAATGACACTGTTTTTCAACATATACTCACAGCAATATGACATCTCAATAGAGGTTATTCCATGTCACCAATCTTCGCAAACTTACATTCTTGTCCTAAGGGTCATTTCTAACATAAAGACTAAATTTTGAACATCAGGCCTGGCGCTCGGAAATGCAAATCGTAGTCGCTTTGGAGAACTGACTGATTCCCAAAGTGACGTGAAGTAACCAAACGATTTGTTTTAGTGTCCGTGAAAGGCCGTGAGTACATCTGTAAACTGAATTTTGGCTTCACAATAAACTTTGGAAACTCTTCATAACCTTAACGAGGGCTTTCAAGTTAACGTTCAGGAACAGGATAACAGAAAAAAAATAAAACAGGAATTCCCACCTTGAAGACCTCCACAAGTCCACTGATCGCCGTCTTGACATCCTTTAATTCTTTCTCCTCTTGCAACAACTGCACATTATCGGATAAGAACATGCAATATTTCAACAAATTAAGTTACTGATAGCTAAATGCACTCGTACCACACTAAAAAAAACACCACTTCACAAAAACAAACGATTGCACTCAAACGATGATGGTGCAATTTCTCTGTGATTTTTAACATTAGAAAGACTGATTTATTAATTAATTTGTCTCAATAGTTTTCACGTATGCTTAAAGTCAAGCTAAACTTGCTAATGGGCCAGGAGGCGAGATAAGGTAACATAGGTTTCAAATTATTTGTTTTAGTAGTATTGAAAACTTAAAATAAGTGCAATGAACTTAAGTCATAGTGTGATGAAAACTAGAACCCCGTGTGTAATAATCTCTCTTTTTTTAGTCGATATGTAATTCTTCGGACAGAGGGTCACTTATCCTGCATTTCACTTTACGTTGTTGTGAATCAATAAAGTTGTTGTTTGAAACCAGAATTTGAAAACAGCGAGCTCTTTTTTGCAAGAACAACTGAGCGACAGTTCTCACTACTAGTTTGCAGTGCAACTTGCTGGAAGTCCATTACCTGTTCCTGCTGCTCAAAAGGAGGATGTTTCCCTTGTAGTTCCACATGTCTACTGATGACCTGAAACCAAAATCAATGTTCTCTTTTATAGAGCGTTTTCACTCACGCGGTCAGGAATCATACACATCTGTCGGAGCACAAGAAAGTGTTCACGTAAAAAAGATTTCAACTCCCACTGGATTGGTTTGGTACACCAACAACGCCGCTGTTTCATTGTTTGGAAACCAATATGGCTGCCATGACGTCATGCAAAAACACTCCACAGTATTGCTAGGTGTTGTTACCACTCAGTTTAGTATTTGACGTAATATATCAAACACGAGAGGCCGTGTTTGACCACATTTCCAAACACCTAGAAGCGGAGTATTTTTGATGAACTTCGAGGTGTTTGTCAATGTGATCAAAAACTGTCTTGAGTCAAAACTAAAAAAAATAAAAAAAACTGTCAATCAAAACTAAAGTTAAGGAGAAAACGGGGAACTATAATCGTAAAAATCTATGCTAATTGAGATCAGATATCCAAACACCGCCACGGTCATCACTTCCTTTGTTTAAACTTGATGAATTATCAATGAGTTTGAGAAACCATTTTCTAGTTTGGTTTTTCAAAGTTCTTAGCCTGAGACAAATAGCACAAGAGAGAATAAATGAACTTGACGAACTTGAAATACCTTCTCGATAATGTCCAAGAAATCTTGACACTTCTGAGAATCAACCATTTGACACAAGTCCAGAAGAATTTGTACAGCTACATTACGGACAGTCACATCTTGATCTTCACCAATGTGATTTAGGTATGGCAACACTGCAGACTCTAACAGCTCTTCCTAAAAGGGTGATGAATTTACAATTAATTCCCGATGTCTGCCCCCTGGTCTAAAAACAAACAAACAAAACAAAACAAATTGTAAAACTTGAAAGACTTGAAAAGCTGGGTGGTTCAGAACACAGAGACCCCGGCCAGGGTACGAATTCGGACTGGTAATGATCCAGAGTCCAGCTAGTTTCACGTTTCGTAATTTCCACACAACAAATAAAAATCAAACAGAGATTAAAAAAATGTGGAGGTTTGTGAACTAAGACCGACTGCACACTAACCAATAAGCAAGCCAGCCTTCCACAAATTCTAAAGTAGCAACATGCACTCTTCTTTTTCGTTTGTTTTTCTTTTTTCTTTTTTTACGATATGTGTTTTCATTTGGCAGGGATCAAATGCCACTGGTTTGTTTCAAATACAGTTCTGTCCCAGAGAAGTCGCGTTATTCTCTTAGTCATTCTCCTAAGTTCCCCAGGTCATAAATAACAGCGGGTGTTTGGCATACTAGCCTGTATGAGGCACTGTTAGTTTCTCATGGTTATGTACTCACGACTATTAAGCTTACCTCGTACCAGTGAACATACGACGTCAACACAGATGATAAAACAGCAAGGACTTTAACTCTGACACTAGTGCGAATTTCGTATCTGATAAAGAAAACAGTGACAAAGTAAATGGCTGGACCCCGAGAGTAGCAGTAGTTCGTAAAGTGTGATCTGCCAGGCGAAGGTTGTTGTTTCTGACCGACGCGTAGGGAACTTGAGTAGAGGTCATCTTTAAAGTCGATAAAAAAAATGTTTGTCAGTCGACGGTGCTGTAATTTTGGTCGTTGAAACTGATTAATTAGTTCTAGTGAAATGAGCCGTGAAAAACACAGAATGCGTACATGTACGTAAACCCATTAGGGAGCATTTAAGTGATCATGTCAAAACTGGTTGCCAGAGCGTTGTCATGGAATCTGACGCAGACGAATCCGATCACGAGGCCACGTATTAAACGTTCACTCAGTTTGACGAAATTTCGTCAAATCTGCCAATTTCGTCACTACGTGCATTTCTGGACATACGTGCAAAAGTGGCACTTGATCTCCAGAATGAACAAGGATGAAAAAAGAACACTTGTCACGTATAGATGCTAGCTTTTTTTTTACGATAACTTACATGTACAGGGTTTTTTTAACGAGAGAATTCAAACATAGTCACAAATAAATCATAATTGTTGTAACACCACTGTACCTAAAGTACTTTTCCATCAAATTGTGAAGGTTCGTAAGCCATCCCACTTGCGCAGGATGAACTGTCTGAGCCTTGAACGAAACTAAAATATGAAGAGATTTTTCCTGGAAAAAATAAAAATGTGTTGTTAATTGGTGTATAACTGGACTATAGATTCTGACAGCAACGACACACTGAACGCAACGATGAAATGATAATCTAACGTTCGTTAGTAGCCACTCAGCTGTGCTCTCTTGGAAATCCGCGAATATGATTGGTTCTCTCCCCGCTTTCTATTTAACAATTAGATTATGAGCTCGAGATTTCTATCGCGTGATAGATAGTCTATCTATTCTGTGATAGGTGGTAAGTAACGTAGCAGTGTGCCCTTGTTAACAAAATCACGGCCGCTTCTTGGCGTTTTCAAAGTGTCTGTGAAGAGGATTTAGATAAAGTTTTGAACGACTAGCAGATTTATTCTAAAACAATTAGATTATTCGCTCTCGATTTTTGCGCGTGATAGTTGACTCGGGCTGCGCCCTTGTCAACTACCACGTGTTGTAGTTCACCACTAAATTTTGTCCGATTCTTATTGGTTTAAATTGATCACGTGGTGCGATAGTGTTCGTCCACGGAGAGACACTATCCCCATAGTGCCCGTCCGCGGAAAATACCCGGATGGATAGTACTCGTCCGTGAAAAATTTTCTGTAAACAAGCGGGTTTGTAGAAAATAAAGAATTGAAATTGTATGAAGTGAGTGTTTGTCGGTTTTCTTTTTCAAATTTTACATCTGACTGTCATGTCTTTCATCTAAAAATGTTGAAAATAATACAATATGATTTTTGAATTGGCGCACGGAAGAAAATTTAGTGGTGAACAATAAAGACAATAGAGTGTTTATCTCTCGGAACTATCGGTCTTATGGTTGCCCCTTGGAAATTTGATGTTCTTTAAACTAGCAAATTTGCCCTCGAAGCTTCGCTTCTCGGGCAAATATTTGTTTTAAGAACATCAAATTTCCGGGGGACAACTATCAGCCGACAGTTCCTCGACAGAAACACTCTATTGTTTAAATAGAAATCTCGAGCTCATAATCTAATTGTTTAAAAGAAAACTCCTGATCGTAGTCTAATTGTTAAATAGGATATCCTTTAAGTAGGAATGGGTAGGTGTTAATTCTTTCCAGGAACTTCTAAACTTTAGGTCAGAAAATTACGCTAATTCGCCTACAGACTAGTTATATTTTAAGCTCATATTGTATTATGACATAAATAACATCATCAGTTAACTATAACCAAGTCTATCTTTTCTTCCAGGTCTAAGACCCTATGGTCAAGTAAGACAAGTCAAGTAATTTTCAGTTTTCAAATACTTGGTTAGCTATGGACTGTTCCAAGCTCTCAGTAAGTGGGAATGGTCAAAAAAGCGGGCGGGCGACGAGCGTGGTCTGGGAGAGAAAAACAGAAGGCGGGGGACCCCGCTGGTCGCCCCGTTCGTCGTCCCCACTGACCGAGAGACTGGAACAGGCTAGGCTTGCTGGTTTTTAGTGTGTTGGTCAAGTTGTTTGAATTTGCAGAGCTCCTTACTGGTCGCATACTGGCGGTCTTCTCTACCATACCAAAGAACCTTTCTTCTGGGCCATTGAACTTTCCGGACTCGTAAAGATCCTCTATACTGGTCAACAGCGTGTGAAGATTTTCTATCAACGCATTATCTCCTGGGCTATACTCCTAAGATCAGCAGAAAATAAACTATCTTTAAAAAATTTATTTTACGAAATATTTAAAAAAAATCGCTGTTATAAAATGGCTTAAAGACGTCAGTGGACCAAAAAATTCTGGACTTCTCATTATATCAATGAGATTGCACGATTCACTTCATCTTCGATTGTGACAGCTCACAGAACGGACAGATAGAGTAAGAACAGACTTTCTCTCACTTTTCTAATATTTTAAAGAAACAACAGAAGTCATACCCTCCGGAGAATCACTAATATCATTCCATACCTCAATCTGCTGTAGCAGAGCTTCAGTGATGTCCAACACTGCATCCCAAGCTACAACATGAAGTTCATGGCCATACTTCTTAACCAGCCTTTGTAACGACAGTGTCACTTCTAAGGCCACTAAACTGTGATGACATGACAGAGCCTAGAGAAAAACAATAACGTATGATAGTGATCTTTATGGGATTGCAGTAATCACCTTGCTCCTTAATCGTTTTACCTTTATCAACTAGTTTAGCCTAAATTTCTTCGTTTGTAATCCGTGTCAATCTTCTCCATCCTTAACCATCCTTGTTCCTCTAAGGTTTATTATTATTATCTCTTTGCTGTTTTCTATCTTAGCAACCTACTATTTTCAAGTTTCCTTCAAGTTAAAAGTAATTTTGTACATGGCCAAAATAACTCAAATACCGTGACTGAGCTCCTTTAACAGACGTTGTTTCGTATGATAAAACACTTTTACCTGTATGCAAACAAGGAGAGGTTTCTTTTAGAAACCTCACAAACCTCACAAACATGAGGAACTAAAACGATCATGTTACGCATGCTCGATCGCATTTGTTATGTAGTCATTTTGCTTCAGGCATCATACATGTAGCAATGATGAGTCACTGCATTTTACAGTCTTTGTTTTATAAAACTGTTGAGGTTGGATCAGGCCATGCAATCACAACGACACGTATCATAAACAGTGACTATCACAGAATCACTGAATCCTGTTGACTTTTAGAAGCCTTACCTGTAACATAGAAGGCAAAACAGTTGAATTGGAATACTTGAGGTTTGTTACCCTCTGCGAGCCCCACAAACACATTCCAATGAAAAACACAGAACCTCGCAACAACATCACATCTGAGCCATGGTCACTGTACATTGACAAAAACGAAAGAAAGCTGCATTGAGCCAGACAATGTTGTACATTCTAGGCTTTTATTGTTTTCAAGCTAATGTGGATAAACAAGACCATGTAGAAAATGTCTTTCACAGTAGAAATTAAAACCAACTTCTCTATCGACATTAAGGCATGCTGCGTCACACATATAGATAAGCATTTGGTTCTGGAATGTCATGTAACCTGATAATTGAAGTAATCAAAGTCCTGGCCTCAAAGGTAAACCTACATGTTACAACTACAACAGAATCTTGTATTTTCGCGGTTAAAACATTCACTCTTCGCTATACCTTTCTTGCAAGGTTCCTTTGTTCTGAGAATTAGATTTTGTTTTCTTCTCGCAAGAATTGGATGGGAGCGATATGCTTGGCTGTGATCGGCTGTTATTTTATTGACCTAGCGTTGTAGGCATGCAATACGTACAGAGATTCCGATGCACGTTAAGGGTGTGTAGCTAGGTACTACTTACCGTACGTAATATTTACCTTACATAATTATTATCAATATTATAATGAGCAATGACATCTTCAGCTCTACCTGTCCTCCATAATACTGCACATGGTGTAAACTCCACTATGTCCTAGGTGAGTCCCAAGCAAATTTCGCATAATCTAACATCAAAAACAAATTCTTAAACTTAGTTTTAAGATACAAGGTATAAAGAGGTTTTCGATTGAGTGTCAAAAGTAATCAGGCAATTACGGTAGTTTTAGTTTTGGTTTTTCTACGGTTTGGTATTGGCTGAGTAGTCTAACTGGTGAGTGATCGGTTTGGTTTTGGTTTTACAACAATCAATTGAAAACCGCTCAAAAATAATGCAAATTTATTAATAATAATAAAACTGACAAAAGTTCAATTAAGACCTGAAACTACAGTCGAACCTCCCGTAAGCGACCACCCAAAATTGTCAAGCCTATGTGGTCGCTTACGGGAGTTAGTCGCTTACGAGAGCTTAGAGCTGCATATTGGGTCAAAATGTTGCCTCATTAGCATATGGTAATTTTAGGACATTTAGGTCGTCTCTTTTGAGACTGACAGAGTACAGTGTATGTGCATTTTCTCTTTAAAGTTTTAAAGTTTTATTAATGTGAAAAATCTATTTCGAGAAAAAATGGGGTACTACCCAGGAATGCAATAATGTTACAACACCTTATTATCCGGTTTTCGCTCTATTATCTGTCAAGTGGTAACTTACGGGAGGTTGAAAATAAAAGAAAATTTCAAATGTTCAGCTCTACAAGTGGTCGCGGTCGCTTACGAGAAGTGGTCGCTTACAAGAGGTTCCAAATATAGTGATTTGACTGGGAAACTTTTGGTACTTTGGAAAACTGGTCGCTAATGAGAGGTGGTCGCTTACGAAAGGAGTTCGCAACTCGAGGTTCCACTGTACTGTAAAATTGATTGATGATAAAATCTTTTATTAATGATAGTAAAACATATATTTGAACCCAATTCAGGTCAAATTTTATTTGCTTGGGGAAATTCTTGTTATAGCCGATATGTCTTAACTCTAAGTGGATAGTGTGAATGCATAATATAAGGTGACAATCACTTAACCCTTGACATGTATTTTAACTGAATTTTTAAAAATGTTCAGCCATTATCTGTTTGTTTGTTTGCTGTTGTTGTTGTTGTTGTTGTTGTTTTTAACTACATTCAGCTTACACAGTCAGTGGAAGGTATGCAATATCAAAGGTTCAACCATAGCTCAATGTGAGATTCGGAAAACTGTAAACACCAGAAATATTTATGGACTGTTATAGTGTGGCAAGGAAAAAGCCAATTAGGCATGAGAAAACTAAACAGCAAAGAGCAAGTTACTAGTTTGTTTTGAGGTTTCCTCTCGTGTCCTGAACTTTATTGTGATTAGTCAGTACACAATTGATCTGTCAGAATCAAATTAAAGTGTTCACGGTTTTCTGAGTCCCAAAGTTATATGACATGCAAACCTCAATTACCTTCCAGCTGTGCTGGCAGAATTTCTCAATGTTCACGGCTCTACAAGCAGTGGCTATGAACTCAAACAAAGCATTAGATGGCAGACAGCAGTAACGCACAACAGCGTCCAACAGGCTCAAGCAGAGCTAAAGAATACAAAATAATATCAAGTAGCACAGTCATTATATCAAACAGCTTTTTAAAATATCTTGGAGTTTACCAATGCCTTCGGAAGGCTACTAACGTTTTAATGGTAAGGTTTATGTTTTTAATCGATACAATGTGTAAAAAAAATAAAATTTAAGCAATGCAGAATATTTTCGGTTGGAATTCCAATTTCTTACAGTTCCACCGATAAGACAGTAGAACTTAAACAAGTTCGGATAATCATGTTTGTAATTTTTACCTCAACATTTTCATCTTCCTTAGTTGTTCTTGAAAGACGGCAAGTTTCTCTGAAAAGAATTAATGATGTCATTAATATTTTATTAGTGGTCACTTATCTGTATCTGAAGGACACCTTGTCTAGATCCAAGTCTTGTTTTGGCAGATCGTGATCATGAAAGTTACAACCCAGTCAACTTGGGATTTTAGATAAGTGCTTTCTTTCCCTTTTTTCACAAATAATCAGGGTTGCATGATCTAATGCTGAAATAAAAGTATCGATCAGCTTGTGGATAAACATATCACATTTAGTTTCACATGCCGTATTTATTCACTTATAAGGCGCACTCGGTTATAAGACGCACCCTAAACTTTCGAAGACGATTGTGACAAGTAAGCAAAAGGTAATTATAACATATTATATTAATCACATTTTCATTTCCTATTAAACCATGCCAATTGATTTGAGATTTTAAATATTAAATATATTTCCTTTTTTCACAAAATACTCAAAGTTGTACAAAGTAGAGCTGAAATGAAAGCATTGCTCAGCTTGTGGATAAACATATCACATTTAATTACCCTTCCTGATCAGTTGACAAAGTGAGATTATTTCTCAAGCAGTGTGTGTTGAGTGGCAAATAACACGAAGCACCAGTTGCACTTACTTAACAATGCCTGACACAACGTCCTCATCAAGAAAGCTGGAGTTGTAGTGAATCACATTACTCAGGAGAGGCATGAAAACATCCATTCTGTAATTTCAGAACCCCAAGCAATTAGACAATGGACTAGAAGTTAAGTTACATGACTGTACAAGAGAATCATCATGCATTAATACCTTTAAAAGAGGCTTGTTTAAAGTACAAAATGGCACTAATGGTTAGTCTAGATATACACACAGCACTCAGGTTACTAAGCCTAAATAGCACTGACTTGATAGTGGCTAGCTCTCAATAACTGTATGGGTTAATCATATCTCTCATTGTTAAGTGCCATTTCATCATTTTGCCATTTCATGCTTTAAACACACTCCTTTAAAAGTTGTTACTCTATGTAAGCAATTACATGACTAAGTTAATTAGTTCAGAGGGCTAATAACTAAAATCGACCAATAAGATTGCTCCATTGCCAGTCCAATGTTCTTTAAGTATTGGACCGTGCACTATCCCAAATGATCCCGCACAATCACCCTTGAAGATTTTCTCAAATGGTAGTTTTGTGTTCTGTTTCTGAAGGCATTCGCATCCACATTAAAGATTCCTTTGTTCTCTTTTTTTCCAACTCTTCCTTTTTTTGTTTAATACCAGACCTGACTATATGCCTAGTTGGCTCAAATTGCACAAGTTTGCAATGTTTTACCAGCTTGCTTGGGACTGTGCTGGAGGAATATAGGCCCTTGGTCTTTTTTGTACCAAGCTTGCTGAGCCCAGTCCATACTGTCAAGACCTCACACCAGTATTGTCCCAGTACGGACCTTGCATACATGTATTTACTCAAACCTACATACATGCATACATTACAGGTAGGAAAAGGAAAATGCAAGCTTTGACAAAAACTCTGAACAGCAAGCCAAGCCCATTGTCATGCTAACAAATAAGTTTCTTATCATACAATTCTTTCTGTATTTTATTAACTTTTCATACAATGATTATAATTACCTGTATATCACAGAGCCTAAAGCAATGATCAACTAATAAAAATTGCATACAATTAACTTTACAAAGTATAGGAACTGACCTTTCTTTCAGCATAACTTCAGGCATCCATGACAATAGGAAAGGACCTGTGAAAATTCATATCATAAAAAATGTACTTGTCTAGTAATTTATGAACATCAGTTTAGACAATACTTTACATAATATATTTAATATAATATAATAACTGTATATTTCTGGTCTTCTGTTTTTAATTACAAAGCAAGATTACATGTATCAGCACACTTCATTCTGGGTTTTATGGTAGATTTGGAGGATCCATTAAGATACATCAAACTTTCAAATGAAACCTTTAGAAACAGGATCTACTAAATTGTAATAAAAGCTTTTTATTATTTATCATCAAAGGGCACTATCATGATCATGGTTCAAAATGTTTGTGCTTGACTAACACATCCACAGCACAATGTATGTACCATCAGTGTAACAGTTCTGCAAATCGAACCGAGGTCAGACAGGTGTGGATAAGAATAATTATAATAACTAGTAGTAATCAAAGATTATGAGTGCGTTCTACACCAGCGATATAATTTAAATTGCTGTCTGTTGTTGAAATCGTTACCTTTGTGAAGAGCTGAAGTTTTAATGCGACTAAATATAATTTAGGCAAAGTTAGACTCAAACCAATGCAGTCAGCAGTTTCCCCTTTTACAGTACGTGACTTACAGGGCAGCCCTTAGGAGATTTGCAGGGCTGTTGTGTCACATTGCATTGCAAATACTGTGCTGCCAGCTGATCATTGCAGATCATTTGCTTTGTATTTTGGCGAATCTTTCCGGATTCTCACCCTGTCCCATCCCTCCCTCTTGGTTGCTGGTCTCTGGGTAAGTATGGGTCTGGTAAGTTGTTTCCACTGATTCATTCAGTGTGACGGTGCCAGTTAGCGGCTGCTTTCAGGGGTGTTCCTGCTTCCAGGGTTGCCATGGATACCTCCCCTTCCGCTTACAGCCTCTGCTCCCTGCTAACCTTTCAGGCACCAGTTCCCAAGCTCATCTATTTGTGATGAGTGTAACAGACAGATATGACATAATGACAAAGTCCACTAATTTTCTGTGGATTATTTGTTTCCTTGCTTTATTGTTAGGAAGTTATGATCTGATATCCTTTGATAACATGTTGTGTGAAGGCTCCAGTTTCAGTAAGTCACAAGTTTAATAGAACATTTGCCCTCAAAATTCATGCTAACATCTCATTTCCACTTTTACTGGTAATTTTTAAGCATAAAGGTTGATTTTTAAAAGTATACTTATGTTACATGTAGTATTCTAAGCTGGAAGCACAAAATTTGTTAGCTGATATTTAATATCAGCTAACATTTGCACTAGCATGCTAGTTTATTGGTGGTTTTATCGTAAACAAACTCTGTGCGACTGGCACCTGATTCAATTATTTCCACTGATGAATAAAATTAATCAGCATTTACATAGCTGTTCATTAGTTCTGGCTTACTCTTATAGATCTTGGCTTTAGAGTACTTTTCCATTGATTCAAATTTGACCTTTGTTGGATACTGAACTATTTGTGGCCACTTTAACTAATTAATAAAAGTCAACAAATGTAATCACAATATAGCCAATGAAATATAGCTGTTCACACAGTTAACATCCCAAAGCCAAGGCGATTCAAAATCGTGTTCCTGAACAGAACATTAAATAATTGTTACCCCACTTATGTAACAAAAGCACATCATCTCGCATCCTTACCAAACAGGCCATGCACGGTCCAGAATCAAAACTACTACAAACGAGCCATTGCAAACGATCAAAAAAGCAAATCGTCTTGTATACACTTGCTTTGCGATGATGTAATTTGTTTTCACCCGGCCAAAAACAATCTCACTCCAGTCTGCATTGGGACTACATACCCTTTTTTGTCAAATGCAATCAGAGTGAAAAACCAGTTCAAAGAAAACTCCAAAATGTCGAACAAAATGAAAGAAACCACAAAAGAGAACAAGAATGACGTACGCAGATGGACACGAAATGTACAGCACATGGTTTGGTGATGACGTCATTCATTTTCACCCCTGCTGCAGGGCAGCCAAATCAATGTCGCAAGATCCTACCAACCTCGACCCACCATCTCATAAAACCTCGCTCAAGTCTGCATTAGGACTGGCATTCTCCAAACATAATTATTTTAATTATTATCACAGTAGACATGTAATGTATGCCTGCAGAAGGTGCAATGTTAAAAGAAAGCTGAGTAGTTATAATTCTTTTTATATGATCAATGCTCATTGTTTTATTTTAATACTTAACTTGCCTTTCTAGAACTGAGTTTTCCAACAGATGGCTTTGTATAGTTCAGCAAACTTGATTTACAGTAAACATTCCAATTTTTGGGATTACATTGTACAGCTGTACTACACAATCACACTTTCAGAACACCATTATTAATATTAATTTTAATTACCAATAATTGGTACAATTATAATTTTAATATAAGAATATTAATATTATTATTTATTAATAATAACATTCTTATCATAGTAAGAATTAATGATTAACAACAAATTTATCATTTGTTACTTGCCTGTCATTTCCTCAAAATATGAGATGTCTTTTCCATTATCACTCAGAGCCTTCAACAATTCCAATCTAAACAAATTAAATGGATTCACAATTCAAGATTTCAAGATTCCACTCTTGAAATATTTAATTTAATTATAATAATCAATTAATTTACCTTTTTCACAAAAACTGCTGAGATCTTTAAGGGAACAATATTATTTGCAATTTAATGTTAAGTAACATAATTTATTAATAATTATTTATACCACAGTTGAAACCACAGACAACAAAGCAGAGAAAGTTATTGCAAGGTACATATATTGTACATATTTTATATAAAGCATGATTAATGTATATCTGCTAGGGTTTTGCTTTTACCAATACTAATCATTTAAAACTAAAAGACTCCCACCTGGGTGTGATGTCTTCAGGAATCCTGTGATTTGTTACAACAGAAAAGAAATGAGCCCTTAAAATCCCAAGTCTGTTGAACTGCAAAAACAAAGAAAATTATAATCACGATAACGTTTTTATAAATTTATACTGTCAACAAGGTGGTTATGAATTCAATGACACAAAGCATTTAATTTAATATGAGAATGGGACACCAATTTTCATCTGGTTTAGGTGTAAGAACTGGTATAATGAGATAAATGAGAGAGACACATTTAGTAAAATGTGTTTACTTAGGCACACTTTGGAGAATTTTGATACCCAAACTTATCTTGTAGGACATTTATAATATATAAAAAAACAAAATAATGTGCACAGCATTTTAATTTATTTATACAGTCATGTAACTATCATGGCACATTCAAAAGTAATTTAAAGGAGCTCAGTCACGGTGTTTTGCCCTTTTTTTTGGCCATGTACAAAATCTCCTTTAAATGGAAGGAAACCTGAAAATAATAGTTTACTAAGATAGAAAAACATCAACGAGATAATCATAAACCATAAAGGAACAAGGATGGCGAAGATTGACATGGATTGCAAATGACAAATTTGAAAAATTTAGGCTAAACTTTTCAAAATGTGCAAACTGAGACTGACCTCCTTTAATGACGACCAGTTATATTACCTGTACTGAGATCATCACTGTTAGAAACTGAAGAGTGACATGCCTTGCCTCCATAGGATTGTGTGGACTGAGCAGGTCATCAACTGCAGCCCATGCTGCTTCAACAGCATGCTGAAAATAAAAATAAGCACTACTCAGAATCCCTTGTCTTATAAGATGACATTAAGGACGGTGCCTACTTTTGTTAGTGCGCACAAGTTCTGCGCATCACGCAAGGCATGGTTTAAGTGCCACGTGCACGCTGGGTTGACATGACGTAATCAACTACGCTACCAAGTACACAACTAAATTGAAAGCAAAATTTTCCGACTGTGACCTAATCTCGTGACCAAATCAAGTTTAATGAACCTGTACTTAAACCAGGAACACCAGAACAGCAGCATATCGCTAACCACTAAATGAAAACATCTTCCAGCTGAAAAACTAGCTGTTATCTGTCGAAAATTATACTGAAATCCAACTGTAAACATGTACCTGCAGATGGCGTAGTGTGCGCGCAAAACAAGTGCGAGATACGCAAATGTTTTACTTACTGGGGAGGTGACAAAAAAAAATGTAACAGGCACCATAAAAAGTTTAAAAAAGGATCAATAACTTTAAAAAACACGTGGTTACCTCTATATTTTATGTTATGAAATGGAATTGGCAAGACTATTCAGCAGGTGATTAGTTCCTAGTTGTGAGCAAAAGATATTTAGACTGTATTTTAGCTGAAACAGAGGAAGGCTGTCAGAGACGCTGAAAGTGCTGTTGCAACGATTTTGTTATTAAAAACATACCAAAAATGGTTTTTATGTTACCATTTACCATGTAGTTTTCAGATCTTTATAAATGTGTTTGRTTTTCTGTATGTAAAGGCGAATTCTAAAGAAAGCTGTGAAGAAATATCCTCTCCTTCTATTTTCAGAAAAATGCTGATGTCAGCATTTTTCTTGAGATTCAAGGCTAATTATCTTGAAAAAATGTGCGGCTACCCTCTTTTTTCTTTGTGGATTCCAATAGCCCTTGCAAAGATCAGAAAAGGCACCCCTTTCATATACTTTTCATTGAAAAATATACCCCTTTCACTTACTTAAGAACATCTCATCTATTTTTCTAAACCCTTAGCATGAAGTTGATGATGCAGAGATGATACAGCCATAAGGTGCATCTGTTTGGAATATTTTCTTTAAAGTCCCTTTTAAATACCTGAATGACAGATCAGATTTCCCTACCCTTTCATACACCTCAACTTGTAAAATCCCATGTACCCTTTCTGTGTGTGTATATATATATACTTCAAGCCTGAAAGAGGTACTTCTCTTGGGTGGAGCCTCCCAATATAGGCGATTATAGGGAGTACCCTGGGGGGGGGGGGGG